ATATTTATTCACCCAAACCATATTTGGTATCAATGTTATACCTAACAATAACTACAGAGAAAAGAATGAAAATATTCATTCGTCAGTTTGTACTCTTAGACCAAATGCAAGAATACTGACAACTTCAACAATAAGCCAAAGCTAATAGCAAAACCATTCCTTTAGATATAAAGTGCACTGAGTATCTTCAAATGAAATTGAAATAATCCAAGAGCTTTATTAATATATGAGTGAAATCTGGGGAGATCTCTTTGCCTTCTTAAAATAGGTGGAACAATCTACCCAGATGTCACCAACTGCTGAAACCTGCTCAGCTATCACACATCTGGTTAGTACTTTTGAAATAAATTGCATTAACAGAGGGATACAATCAAGATCAAGTGAGGTACTAATACCACTCTATAAACGAAAGCCTTAGTAATACCACACCTAGAGTACTGCATCCAGTTGTGGTCACCACACTATAAAAAAGATGTTGAAACTCTAGAAAAAGTGCAGAGAAGAAAAACCAGGATGATTAGGGGACTGGAGACTAAAACATATGAAGAACGGTTAAAGGAACTGGGCATGGCTAGTCCAGTGAAGAGAAGGACCAAGGGGGAGACATGATAGCAGTGTTCCAATATTGGGGGGGGCCTGCCACATAGGGGGTCAAGCTATTTTCTAAAGCACCCAAAGGCCAGACAAGGAATAATGGATGGAGACTGATCAAGGAGAGATTCAACCTAGAAACAAGACATTTTCTGATAGTGGGAACAATCAACCAATGGAACAGAAGTTGCCTTCAGAAGTTGTGGGAGCTTCATCACTTGAGACTTTCAAGAAGAGATTGGACTGCCGTTTGTCAGAAATGATGTAGGGTCTCCTGCTTGGGTGGGGGGTTTGACTAGATGACCTACAAGGTCTCTTCCAACTCTGTTAATCTGTAATCAGATATTTTATTAATGTAATGTGGTTTTTTATTATTTATGGATTACATTTTTTTCAGAATTGCACCAACCCTTTCAACAGAATTCTTTGGCTAAGGCGGTTTTGAATTATTTTGATAAACAGAGATGAAATATAATGCTCTTTTTGTGATTACTGTATGTTTAATACCTTTTCTATGCAGGATGTCATCACCAAAATACTGGAAAATGCTATCCTTCCTTTTTGCTATCCAGGAGATCAACCAGGATTCCCATCACTTACCCAACATCACCCTGGGCTACAATGTCTATGAAAATTATTTCAATGCAGAAAAGACTTCAGATGCTTTGCTGGACCTGCTTTCAGACGGGGAGGCCAATGTCCCCAACTACAGTTGTGGGAGGCAGAGAAACACAGTGGCTGTTCTTGAAGGTACTGAAACAGGCTTCTCCATCCAGATATCATCCATGTTGGGCACCTACAAAATCCCACAGGTGAGTCTTTGCAGAGAAGATTTTAATCATGTGGCTTTCAATCAGAGATCCTCCATCTGTAAATGAAGACCAGGTTTCATTGTGGGAACAATAAACCTATAGACTGATAGTTCAGGTTATTCAAAGAGAGGGAAAGAGTTAAACAAATATATCCCCTTTTACTAAACCTAAGGACATTCTCTTCTCCTAGGATAAGGAGGAATGAATGAGAAGAGAAGGAATGCATGAAGAAATAGGTGAATGGAGATGTCTTTACTGCAAAGAGTGGAACTAAGCCTAATCTACACACTCCCACACATCCTGGACGTAAACTGTTTCAACTTCTACCCTCAAAACAATGCTATAGGGCACTACACACCAGAACAACTAGACACAAGGACAGTTTTTTCTCAAATGTCATCACTCTGCTGAACAAATATTGCCTTCAACACTGTCAAACTATTGTTTTTAATATTTATTCAATAATTTTAAAAAAACATTATCACACTATTTAGTAAGACTGTATTACTATTATTCTTCTCATCCTTCCTATTACCTATCTCTTCCAACTTATAACCTTAACCATGTTGTTTGTATCTTTACAATTTATATTGTTTTATTGTTTCCTAGTATGATTTGATTGCTTATTAGTATCCTATGACTATCACTAAGTGTTGTATCTTATGATCCTTGATGAATGTATTTTATTTTTTTCTTTATGTACATTGAGAGCATATGCACCAAAGACAAATTCCTTGTGTGTTCAATCACACTTGGCCAATAACAAATTCTATTCTATTCTTCTATTCTATGCAGCCTTAAGGATTACAAAGCTAATTTCATTCCAGCATTCCTAATTTCCTTGTGCTGTCATCTGTCTGGGTGTAAAAGATCTGGTCACATATATAACAAATTGCTAGTGATTTGGTCTTAATTTTTTGTTGACACACAAAGCTAACTCTGTTGCTGTTAGAAGTATAATTCTATTATAAGCCTTCATTAGGGACAGAATTGGTATGTTACACTTTGTCTCATATGGGTCTCAGATAACATAACACTTTTCCTTCCTTTTCAGATTAGTTACAATTTTGTTTCCCAGATTCTGAGGGATAAAACTGTGTTTCCTTTCTTCTACCCGATGCTCCCTGCTGAAGGATTCCAATATTCAGGGATGGTCAACCTGCTCCTCCATTTCAGGTGGACTTTGGTTGGTCTGCTTGCTCCAGACACTGAGAAGGGGCAGAAATTCATGACAATCTTGACTTCCATGCTGATAAGGAGTGGCGTTTGTCCAGTTATATCGCATATCTTTACACCAACTTTTCAAAATATCTTTAAAAATTTGCATATATATCATCATTGGAGGCAAGTGAATGTCATTCTTTTTTTGGTCGAGATTGAATCGGTTGGCATTGGATTGACCATTCTACACCTGGCCCATGAAAGAATTAAGGAACCTGTTGCAGGAAAAGTCCTGATAACAACAGTAGTCTGGGACTTTAGCACTTATTTGTCTGAAGAAAAACTTTATTTCCAATTTGTTCACAGTATTCTTTCTTTTCCTTTGAAGACAAATCAAATGACAAAGTATGGTGGGTTTAGGCCATTTTATTCTTTCATGGAAGGCTTTGCAGAAAAATCCTTTATGTGCTCATACACCAAGGATGCCTTTTCTGTGAAATTCTGGAGACGGTGCAGAGAGAGAGAAGAATTACAGACTCTGTCCCAGGAAAAGATGGATCAGATTCTATGTCTGGACAATTATTTCATTTACAGCACCATCTGGGCTGTGGCCCGGGCCTTACATGCAGCCTATTTGTCCAGGTCCAAGAGGACAAAGATGGAAGGTAGTAAAAGCTTGGAAACTTCAAGACTGAAGGCTTGGCAGGTATTTCTTTTCTGTTACATCCATCCCTCCTGTAGCCAAGAATCCATTTTGTAATGTTAAGAACTGGGGAGCTGTTTTGAAAATATCATATATTATGAGTACAATAAATTAACTGAATTCTTGCTTGAGAAGGGATGTCAACTGGAACACTTCAGAGGTCTCTTCCAACTCTAATATTCTATGTTCTATGAATGAAGTCCAAAATAATCTTGTCTTGATTTTGTAATATAAGGGATATATATATAAAAGTATAGCTCGATACCTGTGCTTCGCTATGAAACTATGTGGTTGGGCTTAGTTTTGGGGGAGGAAAATAAGGGGGCGGGGGAAATTCTGCCTCTGCCTACCAGCATCCATTGGTATTTATCTGGCTAGCATCCTGTCAGTATGTGAGAGATTTGAAAGCTGTTTGGAAACTGAAGCAGTATTTGCTGTGTGAGCAAGCAGGAGACAGCAAGGAGCGTGGCTTAGTTCAACTGTTCTGTACTAAAGCTTCTTGCTGCTGTGAAACTAAAACTGAAAAGGAAACTCCTCTCCTCTGCTTGTGTTTTGCATTTGGATAGATTTCTTTTCAGGTGGGGAGGAGGAGTAAAACTCCTTAGCATCAGAGCATGTTAATAATAATATACGAAATACTAATGCTCTGATGGTCATTTCGAAAAATCCTTTCTGAGTGAGCACCTAGAAGCCAAGAGGAACATATGTGCCAAATTTCAAGTTTGTAGGCTTTTATGGTTCTGGAGATTCTGTGATGATGCGTGAGTGGTATTTCGCTTTTATAGATATAGAAGATGAGATAGGCTTCGAAGTTTCATGACAAACCTCCCAAACTGGAAAGGGCAAGAAGTAGATAATACAGTGATTCCAGAAACCAATTGTATTTTTCATGGCAATAATTACAGGATCCAGAATCTCTGTGAAATTATTTCTCTTCACGGTGCTTGTTCAATTCATATACAGTATTTTTAAACAATAAGTTGGTAAGGGTTACATTCAGTATCGATTAATTGTCCTTTTTCCACACAGACGTTTGGGCATGTCTAAACTTTCTCATATTTTCCTTCCATTCCAGCTTCATCCCTTCCTTGGAAATTCTGAATTTTATAATAAATCCATAGAAGGAGTATATCTGGATGAGAAAGGAGAACTAACAGTAGACCTGGACATTGTTAATTGGCTATATCACAA